TGACTATAGGGGGCGAAACTTTGGCCCCCTTGGATAGGGTGCGCAATCTGGGTGTCCTCCTGGACTCGCGGCTGACACTGGATGACCAGTTGGCGGCCGTGACCAGGGGGTCGTTTTATCAGGTTCGCCTGATTTACCAGTTGCGGCCTTTTCTGGACCGGGATGCCTTACGCACAGTCACTCATGCTCTGGTCACCTCCCGCCTGGACTACTGTAACGCTCTCTACATGGGGCTTCCCTTGAGGAGCACCCGGAGGCTCCAGCTAGTCCAAAATGCGGCCGCGCGGGCGGTGTTGGGAGGGACTCGTCGNGGCCTAGGATAATTTTTAAGAGGGGTTTTTTAGAGGGTTTTTAATTACTTTTTAATTAGACAATTTAAATATTTCATTTTAATTAATTTTAACTTGTGATTGTTAGTGGTGTTTTTAATTGATTGTCAGCCGCCCTGAGTCCGCAAGGAGAAGGGCGGGATATAAATTCAAATAATAAATAAATAAATAAATAAATATTTGGGAAGTACCAAACTAATGTTTTGCATACCTAGAAAACCAATGATATCAAAAATTGAGGAGATACTTCAAATATTTACACATTTATTTCTAATCTTCCTCACCCTGGAAATATCCATTTTATGACCTTTTCTTATGGATACAAAAGGCTACTAAAGCTATATTCAAATTTGCTAAGGATAAGAATAATAATTACAGCAGCAACATATTCAAAGGTGACAAACAATTTATTGTATGGTACACTATTGTGCATCAAAGGCACATTGGCATTACAAGCAATCCAGTTCAAATATCTGAGACCCATCTTGTGTGATCTCCCATCCCCAATGCCCTGCACCCCAACCAGATTCCTCTAGTTGGAATCTTGCGGTATCTTGTAACAGATCCAAAAATGATTCCAATGTCTGAAATATTTGCTTAAACAGGTATTTGAGGCCATGTTCCTAGTTTAGCTCAACCTGGCTAATAAATTCTAATCTTGAAGAAACAAATAGTTCCAGAAAACATAAATGAAAAATATCATAGCAATAGCACTTAGATTTATATACCGCTTTGTAGTGCTTTACAGCCCTTTCTAAGCAGTTTACAGTCAGAAAATTGCTCCCAAGAATCTGGGTCCTCATTTTACCGACCTCAGAAGGATGGAGTCTGAGTCAACTTTGCGCCAGTCAGGATCCAACTGGTGGCAGTCATCAGAGTTAGCCTGCAATACTGCATTCTAACCACTGCACCACCACGGCTCTTATGCTTCATAATTTACATGTTGTATGCTAATAGTGGCTTTGGCATAACATTTAAAAAAGAGGAACCTTTGCTAAATGGGAGACCAAAACAATAATGATAAAATCAGCAATATACTGTACATCCATAACAGATTTGATTATGTGCCATCAAGTTGTTTTGACTCCTAGCAACTACAGTATATAGATAGGTTTTCTTTATCTATCCAAACCTATTCTTTTAGGTTTTCCAACACTGCACTCATTGCCACTATAACTTCTACTTTTCCCAGCATTAGAGTCTTCTCTAGAGACTCAGGTCTTCCATAATGTGTCTGATAGAGGATAGGTCATTTTGCCTTGAGTGGGAACACTGGATTGATTTGTTCAATATCCATTTGTTATCCATAATAGAAGGTTAACAAAAATTAAGCAGGAATGGCTTCCTTATATTATACCTTACACAGCAATGTAGATTTAGGCATTTTTAATATGTTTTAGGGGGAAAATTGAGACTAGTAAAAAGTAATAGATAGGACTTAAATAGAAATACCAATAATCTTCTATGTTTAATTATTTTGAACAGTAATGGAAACAAATGAAAAGGAAGGGAAGAATGTGTCACTAGAAATTTTTTAAGGATTTTGTTTTACTTATATTCAGTAGTGGTTTGTTTTTGTTTTATTCTACTGTCACTATCTAACATAGACCTTTTTCTTTTGTGTTTCATTATTCTAATAATAAAAATATCTTAAATACTTATATAGCTGCAAATTCGGCCTTCTTCAATTTTAATCCATAGTGTACATTCAGGGTTTAGAGAAAGCCAATGCCAAAATTAAGCAGAGTATTGGGCTTAAATTTATAAAGCAATACAATTAGATCATTTCAGCTTAATAAAGCCCTTATCATGATGCCATATGTTATTCCCCAAAATCTTTAGAACATTTTCTCAGTTGCATCTGGAAGGGGATTTACTTTGGCAAGATTTGACACCCTATCCTCAAAAGTGACAATAACAAGAATGCCTCCAAGTATGCTGAGCGTGTGTCAGAGAGAGCCACCCCCCCCCCATATTGCATCTGGTTCCTAATGATAATATCCCCAAATATTAGGGTTAGGCCAGCCCCCTATCAGAAATTTACTGAATCAGCATACATTAATTAAAAAAATGGTAAAAAGAATCTCAGACAGATGGTTATCTGGCCTGTTCTTGAGCACATCCATCACCTCTGGACTACTACTGGTCACACTGTTGAACTGCTCTTAATGCTAAGATTGTCTTTTTCCCTAACACATAGTTGAAATCTGACTTCCAGTAATTTACATTATTTCATGTCTTGTTCTTTGGGGTGGGGGGGAAACCAGGTTGCCACCTTCTTCTATGTGATAGCATCAGATATGTGAATAATAGTACCCTTGGTTTTTCTCTTATCAAAGCTAAACATTTTCAGCTCCTTCAGTGTGTCTTTGTAGGAATTTGTTTCTAGTCTTATTTTATCTTTGATGCCCTTCTGTTAACCTCTTATATTTTCTGTGAATTCTTTTCAAATTATGTGCTAAAAAGAGGGCACAATGCTTGAATGGAATAATTACTTCCTCTGATTTGGAAACCTGCTGATGCAACCAAAAACAATGTATTTGTTTATAGCCAGATCATACTGACTTATATTCAATTAGTAATCAATGCCTATAGTACTCAAATTTCTTTTTCACGAAGATTGTTACCCAGTCAAATATTCAGCATTTTATACCGAAACATTGATAAGAATTCTTGGGTATGATTTTCAAATAAGTTATCAGTCCATTTAATTGTCAGGCCATGTAATTCACATCTAATTAGCTTGCTAATTAGGTTGGCATGGGATGTCTTATCAAATATTTTGCTGAAATGAGAAAGTGTACAATATTTCTGAAATGTACTAAGGAAGACATCCAATCAGAACATGAGATAAGGTTTGTCTGGCAATATTTGTTCGTTAGAAATTTATGCTGCTTTTTGATTATCACCAAATTGTTTTCACAATACTTACAAATGATGAAATCATTTATAATATTCCTGGGTTTCAATTACATATTGATTACAGTAATCTGTATCTGAAAATTCACCCATTTCCCCTTGTGTTCATAGGGAGGTTTATCCTTCTCCAATTATGGTCACCTATTTTCCAAGATATAAGCATTCAGCCAAATCATAAGCAACCTATTTAGCCCCGAAAAAGCAATTTATCTGGCCCAAGTGACTTCACTTATTAAAAACAATAATCTCTGACTATGTTTTCTATGAGTTTCAAGCTGCAGTCTTGTACCTTCCTGGGGTTCACAGTTATTTATTGGACTACATGCTGTCTTTTGAAGACTGAATCCAAACAGAAGTTAAGTAAGTAGTCTAATCCTTCTGGTTCCTCTTCTTGTACCTTTTTTTGTTTAGTCAGACATTCTCTACCTCAACCCCCCCCCCCCAAATATGTTTAAGAGTTCTGGTCAGCTAGATCAGCATGTGATTGCACTTGCAAATAGCTCACTTGTTTTGGGATAATTTTATTTTCAGTGCTAAAGCTGGGTCACACAGCTAATTAGTAACTCCCTAGAGTGCCATGTAAAGCCTAAACATCTCAAGATATAACAGAAAGGCACATTGGTCAGATGTTGGTGGGCATGTCCATCTCATGTCAAATTATGGCTCTGGAGACTGCATTTTAAAAATGGTTCCATGCCTTTCAATGCAATCTACACTGTCAACACAGAATTACTATGTTTGCTACAGATGTAATTTGCAACAATGAGCTTACAAGGGTTCCAAAGGGCAGAACATTTCTTCAGATAAACTAATGCCCTATTCTATGTGTCTTCTTCATTCTCAGCATTGAAGTACTTGCTACTATTTCTAAGTGATGAGGAGAAAGCAGCCCTATTAGTTTGTGTCTTCAAAATTGAAACTAGGTGGTAGCTTTAATAAAGTATTCTAGTATTACAAAGAGAGAGAGAATGACAATTTCATTGTTGGAAAGCTAACATTGATACCTGTTATTTGTACAAGATATTTATCCTTTAAAAGTTGTCATTTGTCTTAAAGCCCATCTGTTAAATAAGCAGAACATAGCAGCTGTTCACAAGTTCTAAATAAGATACCATGTAGAAGTATATGTGTGTATGGTAACTGATTATTTCAGACATCTGCCAATTTGGTCCTACATACAATCAGTTCCATTTAGCTTCCATGCCTTTAATGGTATCAATTTCCAAATGAGTCAAAAATATTGACCATTTGTTTAGAACATATCTAGATGAGAGGCTTTGTGGCATTGCTGTGTTGATACAGCATGTGGCAGATAACCTATATTGCAGCTGCTCACAATATCAGTAATAAATATGGTAACAAATGTGGGGAAGGGAAACTGATAACCTCCAGATATTATTAAACTACCATTTCCAGGAGTCCTGAATCACAACCCATGATCACAGATGCTTAGATACATAGTTGGGCAATTTCTAGAGTGGCACAGATTCTTCACCACTGATAAAAAATATTTACATATAGGATAAACAACTGACAGTTGTCAAATTACAACCTGTCAGCATTGTGATTGAGGAATCAGATGCTTTAGCACAAAAGGAGAACACCTGATATTTATGCTTATTTATTCTGCTCCCTTTTGTTTTATTTTGTAGATCAAAACAGATCAGTCCATTGATATTATTTCCAAGATCTGCAAACTACTGGTCAACAGAATCCAGCTATTCTCTCATAATCTGTTTGTTTCTCCCTTACCAGTCAAGTTCTTCAGCCCAAGCTGCCTCAGTCCAAAACCCCCGTCTTTTTTGTAATTGAGGAAGATGGCCAATGCAGAGCGATCTTCATACAGTTTTGTTCCACGAATGATCCGCAGATTTTCCAAAGGAAGGTATTCAAATTGATTCAGAGCTACCAAGACATAGCCAGTCACTTCTCTGATAGACTGCAAAAAACAAAAAGAGATTTGATTATATACTAAAGTATTCCCAACTCACTCATCAATTTCTAATTTACAAAGTTTCTCAAACAATATACACAAATCACTTATTTATTTTCATTTAAAAGTGGATGAAATTTATAAAAGCCCAGCTATCACAAGCAACTCATAAAGTCAGCATTCACTTCATACTTAAAAGCAAGGAATAAATACAACTTCAGAAAAGGCTGTGACTCACATTGTCTCCTGTGTACAGTACTTCAGATGATGGGAGGACACAAAGCAACCCTCCAAATCAAAGGTAGAAATATGTTTTTAATAAATAATTTTGTATTGCTCACATAATTATACACGACATTATTTGGCACTTTGGTATCACTTCAAGGAACAACTGCAGAATAATATCAAGTACAGACACAACATGCATAAATAATGCACCTAGCATTCATGTGCATCCATATTTTCAGATCTTTATTCCAAAATAAAAGGTAAGACATTTTTGCTTAAGGCACAATTAAACTCTGCTCAATTCTTCACTATTAACTCTATGCCCCAAAATTTGCTTCCAAAGATGGTAAACAATTTATAGAGTGGGGGCTATAAAATATTTTTTGTAAAATCTCCTTCCCATGAATGAAACTGTTTGATCATACTCTAATAGAATCTTGTCACAATGTGTGGTCTGACATACTTATTTCTTGGGGTAGAGAGGGAAAAATATCTTACACAAATTCATTATTGGTATGGTGCAGCAAGCAGGAGTTTTCCTCTGTTCACAGAAATAGTTTATGGAGGCCTACTTGTGTCCAGAAGCCCCTTTGCAGGAGTCAAGGACACCAACCTTTGTTGTGTGGCAGTCTCCTTCAATGAGGTGAATCTACTCACATCAGAACCAGGCCTAGTGCCTGATCACAAGGCTGATGAATCTGGGGCAGATGTATTAGTAGGCTACGAAGGATAATGTGGAACCCATCTTGGCACAAGAAAGTTCTACCCAGGAAACTTCTGGCTCAAAACCCAGGCAGTAAGAGCTATGGGTATGCTAATGCATCCATAATGCATTCCTAGATTCTTTCAACTAATAGCAGTGGTGGGAGACTGGTAGATTCCAGCATAGTGCCAAACATTCTTGGAGCACCCAGATGTACACCCATTCACTTCAATTGCAGATAAAAAAAGTGTTCAATTTGAGAAAACAACTAGGATGATAACAAGATATCTTGTCTTAATACCAGGAAGTAAAGAGATCAATGCTCTACTTTCTCTCTCTCACACACATGCATACATCGGGGTATTGCTTTTGGGAAAGGAGCAAGAAAGAGTTTTCCCAGAAGAAATGCTTCAACTTCTTTGTCCTGTAACCCAGAGCTCCAACACAATTTGCAATTGGTAGATGTTGCATCAGGAGAACAACCTTTTTCCTACTGCCATGACAGGTTGATACACTACACACTTCATTTGCAGTGAGAGACACATTCTCCTGCTGGCCAAATGTGCCAGAAATGCTGCTACTGTGCTTTCATGCACCTGCCTGCTCCACAAAGAAAATCCGATAGATATAGACTATACAGATATAGGAAGGCCATTCCGCTGTCCTTCCCTGCACACTATTGCTGGATGCAGAGTGAGAAAAGATGGGCTGTCAGCAAATGCATCTGGCTGGTGGGCAAGCAAAGAGTTGAAGGTGCCTCTGCTGTTAGGAAGGTAGATATGATAAATATTGTGACCACTCTTAGTAGTTCCAACAATGATCAAACTTCAGGTGTGCAAGCCTAATTTGGCTGTTGCCAGTATACATTCTCTTTACCTGGACAAACCAATAATAACTTGTACAGGTAGAGTGGGAATGAGTGTAATTGTCCCCTTAAATTTGGTCACAATAAGCCAGGAGGGTGCAACCTATAGTATGAGAACCTCATTCAAGGGGATAGGGCTTCCAATGATTTGATTGGTTAAATCATATTTTAAATACTATTGCTGCCAAACATCATTAGAAGAGAGGCATTACTCTTCCATCTTGAGAATTTCAAGAACTAGAACATGCAATTAGAACAACAGAGATCTTGCTATAATTGTATGTATTATACTTTTCCTCTTTAAGGAAAGCTTTGGAATACAATTCTGAAATGCTTTCTGGGGAATAAATATAATTGGACACTGGGAGTATTATTTCTGAGTAAATAGATATTGGATTTGCTCTTGGGTTTTTTATGTTATTTTAATCATATTACATACAATCTGTTATTTTCAATTTACACTCCTGGATTTACCTTATTTTTACACAATATACGTGTGCTGGGCAGAATGGTTGATCCTGACAGAATTACAAAGATGCTATATGGAAGGCAAGTAAAGTCTACCTGCCATGTCATAATGCATCCCATTCTGTTTTGCTAACTTTCTTTATTATTTCTACTTTCACATTACATGGGTAGTCTATGTACAAATCTTTTGTAACCATTGATCAGCTTTATAATATTTCAGAAATACACTACAGTTCATTGACAGTATATTAAAATTCACTGCCATTAAATAATAATTCAGTAGTAAAAAAAGGGGACCATAAACAGGAAGACATTTCTAAGAAGTAACAAGTAAACACTTGGTGGAAGAAAGATGATTTCACTGACTTCCTAATAAGATTAACATAGCTGAAAGTGGTATTATCTGTAAATGTGTGATTAATATGAACACGTATGAAGTGGGATCTACACATTACTTTTTGCTGGTTTGGAATGCTAGTGAACATCCTAGAGATACATATTTGGATATATACATTTAAATATCAAAGATAAGCAAATTCTGATTGCTGCCAAAGACCTGTTTTGCTCTAATAGCTCTTCCTCATGTACTACTAATCCACAGCATGAAGATGTCTCATTAATTCTATATGTTAGGTTTTCATGATATCACCTTCATCTCATTCCTTGTCCATTGCAAAGGCAGCATGCACTGAAAGTGATAATTTCAGATTAAAAATATAATTCTTCTTCCCAGCTAAAGTGTTGCTGACAAAGTATGAACAAGGATCTATACCAGGAGCATATGATGTGCTGTGCTGTGATGCAATGAGAGACTACCTTCTGCCCAGCAAAGGTTTTGTTGTATGAACACGTGTTGTATGAAAAAGTGTAGACTATCCAAAATTGCTGCAGGCAGCTCCCTGCCCCTCCTAGACTCTAGCCACACTACTAAGACCACACTTGGAATATTGCATCCAGGTTTTATATCATGATTTTGATCACCATGATATAAAAAAGATGTTGAGACTCTGGAAAGAGTGCAGAGAAGACCAACAGAGATGATTAGGGGGCTAAGGTGACATAATAGCAGTATTCCAATATTTGAGGGGCTCCCACAAAGAACAAGGAGTCAACTATTCTCCAAAGCACCTGAAGGCAGGACAAGAAGCAATGTATGGAAACTAATCAAGGAGAGAAGCAACCTAGAACTAAGGAGAAATTTCCTGGCAGTAACAACTAGTGGAACGGCTTGCCTTCGGAAGTTGTGGGTACTCCATCACTGGAATCTTCTAAGAAGAGATTGGACAACCATTTGTCTGAAACGGTATAGGTTCTCGTACTTGAGCAGGGGGTTGGACTAGAAGACCTCCAAGGTCCCTTCCAACTCTGATGTTCTATTATTCTGTTACTGCAGCCCATTTTCCTTTTGAGAACTAAGAGCTCAGCACATTGCTTTAATGGACAGAATGCATCTCTTCTCCCAGGAAGGGGGACTTTAACTAAGGTGGCCTTTAACCAGGGTGGGCAGTAAAGCAGGCCTTTTCGGGTAAAAGACTTCCCCAGGGCATGGGTCTTCAGCTTTACTGCTGCAATTGCTCATTCAGGGGAAGGGTGGGTAGGTTTGGCACACATGCACAAGCCCATGGATCAGCTAGCTTGGACTCAAGTTCTCCCAGATTATTTTTTTTATTTTAATAAACTAAAGGCAACTATTGGTGGCTGCATCTTCCTTCCCCACAGAGTTTCCATTTCCCCCTGCTAGGTGAAAAAACCCACTATTGATCATCTTCTTAATGTTGGGTGAGTGGAGCTTAAGAATCAGAGACTTTGCATTCTTCCTTCTCCAGAAGCTATTACAGCCCTGTTGACAGTTTAACAACTATACTGAAAACAAAATAAATGCTCTTATTAGATTGCCTACTGTTGGGCTACAAAACAGTCTCCCCCCTGCTGCTTCTCCATTCCTGTCTTTAAAAGAGGGGTCTCGTTTAGACTGGTCTAACATTGCTTGACATTGGTGGTGAATTTATGTTAATAAAAAAGGCTGCATCAGATCTGAGATTGTGTGAAAGAGACCAATGGATAAGCAGAAACAAAAACAGCCATAGAGGAACAGCACCCATCACTTTAATACAGGATCAGCTAAAACCAAAGTTAGGTGGCCTCAGCTGTGCACTGAGGAGGCAACAAGGGCCAAGTACCCAGAATGATTAAGCAGGGCATTGCCAAGCTGTTAGAGTCAATGTGTAGATGAGCCCTTACTTTACCCCAAAACAGTCACCAGTCTTCAGAGTCCTCATTTCTGACATCCACTGCAGATGTCAAAGCTTTTGGAATGGAGCATCTCTGATCCCCCACCCTCCTTAACTAGCCAGTGAAGGAAAGGAATGAACTGCTTTTGAGAGAAGCAACTACTCTGTATTTCCAGCCTGTGGTTAGCATAGCCTAGTAGTTCTTGAGGTTGCCATGCCAGGCTAATCCCCGGCTAGAAGAGAAAAGAAGCTCTCACAGGATCCTATTATAGAATGCAAGAACCACAGTCCTGTTCAATAGGTTCTTCCCTAATTATTTTTGCAACAGGGCTCTTCCACCTAGCTGCCCTAAAGTGATGCATCCAGTGAAGGATCTGCCAGGAAACTAGGTTAGCTGACTCCACTGACCTGTCTTGGCAATGAGCAGAAGGGAAAATATGATTAGGCTTTCAAGATTCAGTTACTTTAGCCTTTATCAATAAAGCACAGTTCCATCATTTTTTAATATTTT